TAAAGCAAGCCCTGCTGTGAACTGTTGTGAATGCTACCGACTCCTTGTTCACCGCGCTCAACTTATCTTATCTTATGCAATTGCGACTTCGTGAACTCTTACTGTTCTACTACTACTACTACTACTACTACTACTACTACTACTACTACTACTACTACTACTACTACTACTACTACTACTACTACTACTACTACTACTACTACTACTACTACTACTACTACTATTACTACTACTACTACTACTACTACTACTACTACTACTACTACTGCTGCTTCTGCTGCTGCTGCTGCTACTACTGCTACTGTTGCTGCTGCTGCTGCTGCTGCTGCTGCTGCTGCTGCCACTGCTACTATAATCAATTTTACAACTACTACTACTGCTACAACTACTGTACTGGCGAAGAAAAGAAAGGTATCACTTTTTAATAGTGTGAAATATCTACGTGTATTTACGCTTTACCCTTTTCCGTAAATGTGAGTAATACTAAGTACTTTAAGGGGGGGGGGGGGGGGGGGGCTACACCCCCAAAATCAAAATTCGGCTCAAAATCATGGAATTTGAATTGTAGGCATTTTTAGCTTCCTCAGCCTCTCCTACAACTATTTCATGGCATAAGAACCCCCAAAAACGGAATTTTGTCCCGGACCGGGGATGTTTGTAACCCCCATTTCCTCATAAAGTCAGTATTTTATTTTTTCTTTGGCGGCCGTTTTCTCAAAATGCGACTTTCCTCTATACTTTTTTTGAAAAACTCCACCATTTTTCATCCAATCTTCATGAAATTTTCCAGTCTTGATTTTTGAACTTGGTATAGATTTTTGTTGGTGGTGTCTGGAGTGTGGATTTTCACGGATTTTTCGCAAACTTGAATGCTACCTCAGGAAAAAATTCATTAAAAATTTTCTAAGTCGATTAGGAAAAAAACAACAGACAAATTTTTAGATCTAATGTTTGTAAATACGCATGCAAAAAAAAACAACAATCAATTTCCATGAACGATAAGTGCGGTATTCATTACGTAAGACATGTCAATAAAATCCAATATGGCGGCGTATCCATGGAAACGAAAATTTATTCAATCATATTTGATTGCGTATTTTTAGACTGCCTACTGTGCTTGTTATATGTGTGACATTTGATAAAATTCGGTCCAGTAATAAGCGAGATAGCTTCCAGGTATAGCCCCCCCCCCCCCCATATATATATATATATATATATATATATATATATATATATATATATATATATATATATCTATATATATATATATATATATATATATATATATATATATATATATATATATATATATATATATATATCTATATATATATATATATAATACATTATATATATCTATATATATATATATATATATATATATATATATATATATCTATATATATATATATATATATACATCTATATATATATATATATATATATATATATATATCTATATACATATATATATATATACACACATATATATATATATATATATAGATAGATAGATAGATAGATAGATAGATAGATATATATATAGATAGATAGATAAATAGATAGATAGATATGGGGATAGCTGAAGGGAGTGGGGTAGGGGGGGGGGCCGGGGGAGCGAGCGTGAGAGATAGACATTGACAAAGAGAGAACGAAAGATACAGGGAAAGAAGAGATACTATAAGCACAGACAAAGATAACGTGGGGAAAAGAGAAGACAAACAAACTAAAAACAAAACAAAACAAAACAAGAAAGCCAACCAAATTAAAAGTAATTACACTCCCAGAAAACAACAAATGCGCGTGAAAGAAGCTGAGCTGTCCCAAATTGCATGCCACAAAATCTTCCCCTCAGCTCAGTCCGTCCTTTGAGACCCATCCTTTGAGGCTCGTCTTGTTCCTAATCCGTAAACCCCGCCTGATCTGGCTGGTGTGAACACACCGTAAAACACAGCCCCGGGGCACGACTCACGCACATTAAGGATTTCTTCTCTATATCACTTCCGGGAAAGTAGCTGGGTTCTTAAAGTTTAAGTGGGCGGTTTGCGGGCGGTCTGGT